TGCGCACTTCAACATTAACGATATAATTTCGTTTGGATAACATAGCGTCGAAACGAAATGATTTCATTTGATTGAGTTAATTTTTCTTGTTGGCGAAACTAAATGATATGCCTGCATTTGTTGAGCAACTCTGGGAAAATATATATGCAATAATTGAATTAAACTTTATGAAATAAGTAGAAAAATTGATTTAGCCAGCTTTTCTTTTCGTCCGTATGTGTACGAAGATAACTTGGTTCAAAAATTCCTTGAGTCACAAATAAGGACACTATTGCCAAGCTCATGTGCACCTCGCCTGATGAGGAGTGTACAAATATTTCGACCAGGCGTGGCATCATCCCACCCCGCTTTGGGTCAAAAGGTCTATCCCGGAAATTGGTAAAAATTATCATTTATAATTCTCATAGTCTAGTATAAACACGCGTTGAATATGGTTGTTTCAGGTAACAGCTGCGTGCTTGTTCCTTATAACGGGGTTTTTCGTTTTTTACTCCACCTGATTCAATATCGATCATTTAAGACCATTCTGCAGAACTCAATCAAACTGAGTGGTTATGTCACTCTTACTAGCGTCGAAAATATCACCATAAGCGCCTGATTTGCGGGTAGATATCAACTACAAATCTCTCTCAATCCAGTTTTGATCAATTTAATATAAATTTCATGCACGGTTCAGCCCTAACTTGGTCTTACTTTCTACTAATGGTTGTAAAATTAGATGTTATATTTTTGTATGAAATCCGAAAGCTTTTCATTCTGACACTTTTTATTTTTAGAGCAAACAAAAGTTGCTTCAGTTTTCTGCTTTGTTTCCCCCACTAAATTGCGGGGTTATCTATTTTGCGATTTCGAAAACAAACTTAAATAAAATAAATTTAAAATTATTTTTTTTTTTGTAATTCTCTCATTTAAATGAAATTTTTGCAAACTTGGAACTGGTTGCGGAAATTTTTATGCCTTAACTAAACGAATGTTTATTTAAAGTGCTCAAGAATTAAATGCTTATCCGCATAAACACGGCCCTTCGCGTAGCCCCATAAAAACGTCCAACGGCGTCAAATTGCACGGGAGCCTAGGTGACAGTCTCGCCGATGTCGCTTTTAAAGAAGTAAGGCTCAATTACACCTCCGGACCTAAGAGTATACCAGACAGCAAGTCACTCTTCCACTATCTGGGGATTGTCGGACTCATAAATGCGGTAATTTAGTTTATCAAGCATCCAATCGACGTATGAGATAGGTCAGCTGGCCTAAGTTTTTGTGTGACCTTCGTTTTTTTAAGAATATATTTGTGAAACAAGTGCAAGATGTGTCAAAACTGTTGAGAGCGTCGAAAAACAGACACATTCGGGTCTGCGGCTACACTTGCACTTACAGTAGCGATATTCGATCCAGTTTCTTCGAATTAATTAAAGTTTTACCAATAGCTTGAATAGTTTGACGATTACATGCACCATAATCTCCTCTCATAGCACGAAATGTGTAAATGTGGCTACGTGTTGTTAAAAGGTAGCCCCGTACATCTTTTGAAACCACTAAATGGATAGCCTTATGCTTTTTTCTTATTTTTAAAGCCAACAAAAGTTGCTTCGTATTTTTTGCCTCAATAACCTCTACTAAAATATTCCCTTAATTCGTTGGGCAGTTGGTTATATTTAGATAAGAGCGTATCTATTGCTGGTAACGGCGCAATAGAATATATTTTCATAGCTGTGCGCTAAACCACAAATTAATTAACGGCATAACCGCATAAAAAATGTTTGCTTTTTACAGAATCATTTCAGACAGTTACATACATACAGTTATCGATATTAGAGCCGACACACCCATAACTACATAATTCATATATATTATATGAGAATGTATCTATTATATAACGGTTCACACTTAAAACATATACATATCCGCATTGTTCGGATCTAGCGGCACCTAAACCGCAAGCTGTTTCAATATGTAATATATTTAAATTTAATATCTGTTTATGTAATATAAATATACATATGTAAGTATATGCACAATTTATACAATTTACATACACAATGACATTGTGTTAGCGGAAGCATGCGTACATACATATATTTATAAATTCCTACACATACACACACACACACACACACACACACACACACATATATATATATATATAACGTGAGCTTTTTGTCACATTACCGTCAATTCAATCAAAGCTCTGCTACTTTTTGTATTTTTTTTTTACAATTTTATTTTATCGGAAAAGCGATAATTTGCTTGAAATCAGTGCGAAAATAATGCAAAAAGCGGTGGGTGCAGTAAAATCGCAGTAACATTGTCAATGATTATAAAAGCCCTTGTCAACAGTATAAATTGGGACCATAAAATGTATCACGTAGAATATGTTAATATTGCAGAAATTTACGTAAATTTATGTGTAAGCACGTGTTTGCGTTGGCGCACTTTTCCTTCAAAGTAAACAAATCTATGAAGCGAATTTAAATGCACAACCGTTTTGATGCTGTAATGATTTTCACTCACGTTGGGAAACGTGTGGAAGTCCTGTCAGTCCTGGGGATATTAGAATGAGGCATGATTGAATGGAGAAGAGCCAATACCAAAGCGGCCGCAAATGTCGTGTGGGTAGCACTATTTGCGTGTTTCGTGAAAAGACCAACTTCAAAAAAGCTGTTTCAAAAGTTGAGGTCCGAGTTTATTTCTGCACCGGTTGTAAAACAGCCACTTTTTTATATATGAACGGCAAAGGTTCCGCATTGAGAGAGAATGCAGACCTTTGCTTGACCATGTAGCCCCGTGTAGCTCTCAATCTTTGAGAGCACGTGTTATCTACGGTTCGATTGGTTGTCTGTTATAATGCAAAAAGAGAGGAGATATACTGAACGCTAAACCACTATGCATTTAGTGAATCCATTAACGCTGTCACAAAATTTTTAAGGGGAAACTTTCAATCTCAGCCTTGCATGTATAGAATTGTTCATAAAAGGGTGCAAAGATGAGTGCATCTCTTCTTCCAAAAGACTTTGGTAGTGTCGGTGTGGAAAATGTTCACCTCTTGAATTTCTTCCTTCCTCGCAAAATGCAAGAGTTATTATATTCAACAGTCTACTTAATGCCTCTAATGTTAAGGTACTAGTCTAATGCTCGTTGGACTGGCTCAAAGCCCACTTTTTCAAAATTGACCTGCGCGACTATAAATCAATCCTCAATCAATCAATATTCAATCAATATTCCTCTCCTACGCTGCCCGGTGCCAGTTGGAAATATCAAGTGAAGTCAGATCACTCTCCACCTGATCCTTCCAATGGCGTGGAGATCTTTTTCTTCCTCTGCTTTCTGTAGCTGGTACTGCATCGAATACTTTGAAAGCTGAAGGGCTTTCATCCATTCGGACGATATGACCTAGCCAGCGTAGCCGCTGTCTCTTCATTCGCTGAACTATATCAACGTTCCATTGTCTGAGGCATTCGCCGTTGCTAATTCGCAAAACCTTTCTCTCCAAGACTCCTAACGCCGACTCATCAGATGTTGACATCCTCAACGCTTCTGCACCACGTAGTTAGACCGATATGATGAGCGACTTGTAGAGTTTGGTTTTCGTTCGCCGAGAGAGGACTTTACTTTTCACCTACTTGCGCTTTATCAGTACCTAAACATGATAGCTCATGTGCATTATAATTCCCTGCTAATCCGCTGTGATGCGGTACCCATACAATTTTTATTCTGAAATAAATCGATGCCATGGAGAGTGATGACAAACATTCTTTCACAATTTTGGCATTGTGAGCTTAAAGCCATAACAGTAGACTGGCTGTCTACGTAAATGTTTGCTTGGCTTGTAGAAACCACATCTCGTAGTTCTGTGTCCACAACATTCACCAAAGCAGCTACTTCCGTCTGAACCTTTCACCGGTAAACAGTTCTACACAGAAGATTTTCACTTCCTCCAACTAAAAACAAGTTAAGCGCCGCATGACCTTCAGTTACTTTTTCAACTGCAGTCCACGCCTGAAGAAAGTATGGTGGAAAAGAAGCCAGTAAGTAGTTCACTGTTCTGGTCTAAAAGGCTGCAAGATGTTTATTTTTACATAGCAAATTATCTCGGGGGTATTTACAAAACTTTACAAAGGTATATTTATTTAAAATATTGTTTAGTTGTTGATCAGCAGGCAATGCATTACTGTGCCGAAGAGCAAAGTTCTCTGTTCATTACAATATATCATAAGACACCTTAATTTTTTTCGTATAATTTTGAAACATTTAAATAACACTTTTATATGTGTTAGACACAAAAATTCTGGTAAAAATTTATATTAAGTCTATCCTGTACATTTGTATGTACATATGCTTTTTAATTCATCTATTTTGCTATCAGAAAATAATTGAATATAAATGAGTATTCACCATTACAAATATGTAAATAACCAAGTAAAATATACAAATATACATAATTTGACTTGACTTGATATCAGTCAGTCAACCATATACAATTCCATTACAGTCAAAATATTGGCTTAGACTTTGTTTGCCTACAATATAATCATGTAGTCTACTGTTAGGCGCCGACATTGAATGTTGTATAATTTTCATATGTGTTGGTGAGTTTGTTTTACATTAACACGTGATTAGATAAGTCGCTAGCTTGACAGACCATATATCATATATATACTCGTATACATAGTTGCTGAAAGTCCACTATAAAGAGATAATTATCTGAAACAAATTTAAGATAACGGAATACATACGATGAAGTGTTGTATGGGTTTGATTTACTGTTTTTTGGGGACTTAACTTTTAGACTCGTACACACATATTAAGTAAAAACAGAAATACTTATTTTTAATTTCGCATTCATGTGTTTCAGTTATAAACACATATACAGTAACGGCATAAAAAAAATATTGAAATCGCAATAAAAAAGCTTTGCAAGCTTCGAGATAACATTCAATCTATTTGATTGCTGAAAGCTGAGTTTTGCTCCATATAAAAATTTCTCTACTAATTTTATTCCAGTTCACTTGCAGAGCTTTCAACTTTAATTGCAGACGCAACTACAGTTAGTAGAAAAAACTCCTAAATGCCTGTCGTGAATAACGCAAAAAACATGGATATCGTTATAAGCGAGGAGGATATGTCCGTGGCACAGGTGGGCATTTATGCATCCATATCATTCCTGGTGGTAACGGTGTTGGGCGCTTTGTTCTATGTTTCCTGTTCGAAGAAATATCGCCTCAATTGGTTTGAGAAAAACCTACTTGAATCAGCAGCAGAGACACAGGATGCAGAAAATTGGTGAGTTGAAGCTAAGTAAAATATTGAAATAAAATAATAGAGTATGAAATAAAGTAAAATATATAATTTAAAATATATATATTTTAAATAAATAAATAAAATAATATGAAAAAAAAAATATAAAATAAAATAAAATAAAATAAAATAAAATAAAATAAAATAAAATAAAATAAAATAAAATAAATAAAATAAAATAAAATAAAATAAAATAAAATAAAATAAAATAAAATAAAATAAAATAAAATAAAATAAAATATAATAAAATATAATAAAATAAAATAAAGTATAATAAAATAAAATAAAATAAAATAAAATGAAATAAAATAAAATAAAATAAAAAATATTAAATAGATTTAAATTGGCAAAAATTAATAAATCAATTAAAAAATTTAAGTTTAAATCAAATAAAAAATAAAACAAAACATAATTATTTAATTTAGTTAAAAATAATATAAAAAAATTGTGTTTCAAAAAAAATTTAAAGTTACTGGAAAATTAAAATTAAAAAAGATGTAATATATTATATTTTAAATAAGTTTAATTAATATTGTAGATGCTTTTAATTGTATGAATTTTAAAATATCATATATCTGTCTTTCTTATTGCCCAGCAACGACCCACTTGTGGCTGGTGCTGCGGGTTACAACGCGGATAACATCAGTGAATGTTCACGCTCTCGTTCGATTTGCAAGGGCAATCTGAGCCCCACCTCCATTAACACCGACGATCCGGCCTTTTGGGTACCACCGCCGCGAAAAACTGTGCAACAACAGGTTTCAACATCTGCTGAAGAATCGCCACCACCAACGCCCACCTCACCAACTGGTAGTCTTAAATCGAATACGCTTTCAATGTCTTCAACGAGTTCAGTGCCCATAACACGCTCCGACAAGCATGTGGTATTAGGCATGAATCCAAGTAGACCGAAAGTCTCATCGATGAGCGCAAAACTGGATCATACAAAAATTGATATGTCTTTATATAGAAATGTGAGTAATGAGTTGTGGTATTGACATGCGCAAAATATTCAAATATATTCTATTCTCTGGTGCTAGAACTCTCAACAGAAGGGTTCACCACAAGGCAGCGATGATATACGCGGAAATATTCACTTGAGCGTTGTATACGATCCAATAGCTGGTATGCTCTCGGTGCATTTAATAGAGGTTAGACTTTGAAAACATAGATTTCATTTCTGTTCGGTGATTTCTTCATTCAAATCTTGTCCATTTTTTGCAGGCACAAAGTTTACAGCCACGTGACTTCAGCGGTACAGCCGATCCATATGCCAAAGTGCGTCTGCTGCCTGAGAAGAAAAATTTCTGGCAAACGCGTATACATAAAAAAACGCTTAATCCAAGTAAGCAGACGTTGCTTTAAAATTATCGATATATACTATTTTATTTTTCTATTTTGCAGTTTTCGATGAGGACTTTGTCTTTGAAGAGAATTCAAACGTTATTGATAAGCGTACAATTGAAATCCTTCTTTACGATTTCGATGCATATTCACGACACGTCTGCATTGGCGGCGCTCAGATACCGTTGAATAGTTTGGACTTAACCGAAAAAGTTGAGCTGTGGACACCTTTGGGCTCCTGTGCAGAGCAAGTAAGATAATAAAATACTTATTATTCAAATTTATCAAAGAAAATAGCAGAAATGGAGATCTCTAGACAGCCTCATTGAAGTTAAAGAGTTTTCATTCTCAGCGAAAACCCTTAATGCTGCTCAGTTATAAATGTTCATGTTAAACTGATTGATTTATCTATTTTTTTATTTCAGGACTTGAAAGTAGATTTGGGCGATATCATGGTTTCCTTATCATTTTTGCCCTCAGCTGAGCGTTTAACTGTTGTATTGATAAAAGCGCGCAACTTGCGTATAATAGATGACTCACGCAACTCATCCGATCCATATATTAAGGTGGCTTTACTCTCCGGTGGTAAGAAAATCAAAAAGCGTAAGACTGGTGTGGCTCGTAACACCATTTGTCCAGTATATAATGAAGCGCTTACCTTCGATGTCAACAAAGAAACGCTGAAAAATTGTCTCATTGAGTTTACCGTCGTGCACGATGGGCTCTTAGGTAGGTTTTGCTACTTTTTCTTTATATGCATACAAATAGCTAATGGAATATTGTTATTTTTTGTATTTATTTTTTTATATAAAAAGGATCGAGCGAAATACTTGGACGTGCTGTTATTGGCAACTCTGCAGATGTGCGTCCAGATGAGCGTATATTTTTCGAAGAAATGTTTCGTTCCAAAAATTCACTCGCCCAATGGGTTCCACTACAGGAGACAAGTAATATGCGGCCCAACGTAGCAAGTGCACCAACCAATGCGAACTAAAGTGTGAATGCTAACATATATTGAATGGCTAACAGAAATTCAACAGAAAGATGTTATTGCGCTGTTGACTTTAACAGCTGTCAGGCATTTACCGCTGTTAAAAGGTTAGCAGTGGCATTAATTTACAGTACCAGATAATCTTCAAAAGTTTCAATTAATTATATGGAATATGTATAAATTTTGGACTCATATACAAGAGATTAATGTAGTAGGAGTGACATTATTTAAATATTAATTATTAAAATAAATAATTATTTTGTTTCTGCTGCAAGTTTGAATTAACGAAAAATTCAACTTTTATTGAGTTCATACATATTTCGATAACGTACATTTATTATACAGAGAACATAAGCAGAAAGAAGTAAAATTGTTATGATTTTTTGTAACTTTTATGTACATTTACAGATATATAGATTTATGTAAATGTTACTTAAAAGCAGGGAAACAAAATTAAAGTTAATTAGGCAGTCTTTGATCTAAAAAAATATATTATTTTTGAAAATAATATCTTATATGCTTGATCAAGTTTATTCAGTGAGCTACTATGTGTGCTTTCAAGGCAGTTAGTGAATTGCGAAAGTATAGATTTTTAAATTTGTATTATAAATGTATGCATGTACGTGTCTTCATGAGTATCATAAATATTAGCATGTAAAATATCTAATAGCGTCTTAATGTTAAAGAGGCGCATTTCTCCAAAAATTCTATGTCCAAAAGTACCTAAAATTATTAATGTCATTGTTAATTAAATCTAAAAATCAACTATATTCATTGTCATTACATGTTTATACGACTACATTTAATTAAATTTATTTATATGAAGTTGAACTTATTGATTTATTTAAATAATTTTAACAAACTTGCTGGAATTTAAAAGGATTATGAGTAAAGATTCATTTTAAAGAAGGAAATCACTTATTATTACATATATATGTATGTTCTGAATGTACAAATGGCTCATAACATTTCTGGAAGAAAATTGCCAATATTAAGTATTAAGAAAGAATGAATAATAATGTTTTTGGTCTAAATCAAGGAAAAATATTTTATGGAATATTTTCTACAAAAAATTTATATGACAAAAACCCCTTTTTGTGTGTTAAGAGTTAAATAGCAATCTGCCAGCCATTTCTTCTTTTTGCTGTGAAGCCATCAAGCTATATTAACTATTCTTTTATTTGATCTTTTCAACGGAGTAAAGGCCTCACTTTTTCTTCGATTTCACTAATATGATGTCCGTTTTGGTTCTAAGATGGTAAAAATTGTCTACGGTTTCATAATTTAGCCTGTCTTTATGTTTCGTTTTGAACTCATTTAGTTTCAGTTGCTTTCTCTCGGAAACTTGTAATGCCGATGCATCGGATGTCGCGCAAAATGGAAATGAGGAGCTACTTGTAGAGTTCTGGTTTTTGTAGATAAAGACAGAGAATTTGACTTTGTTCCAAATTAGATCTTCTTAGTGTTGAAACAGGTTTCTAGATACGAATTTTTTTACGACTTCAAATTTACGATTGCCGCTTGATCGCTTGTTTAATAACAGAAAATTCTTCCTCTTGTCTCCGTTACATTACCCCATGCGGGAAGGCAGATTTAACGGCACAACTTTTGAGGTCGAACGGCTCGTAGAGACCTTCTCTGACGGAACTTTTGGTACTACTCGCCGTTAGAGTTTTGCAGTCACTATTTGAAGTATGAAGAATATCTGGTTAATTGTGAAATTTTGCTTTTTAAGCGACATTAAGGAGACTAGAAATTGATTGTATGGTCCTCTTTTTTGTGGTTTGAGCAGAGTACAGTTAGGTCATCAGATTACATCGTCGGGCCTTAAGCGGGAAAGTTTATGGGATTGAAAATTTCTGTAAGCCGTCATATTCTTTCATAGGATTTTCGAATATCACACCTGCCGACCAGCAGGTAAGATCTTGATGCTCACATTTTTTTACTCTTTTTTTCTGTCCTCAAGTATTTACTCCTTCTCCTCCATAAAGCGGTCGATCGTAATGTTTTCCCCCTACAGCTTTGCGGCACTCTTTATCTATTTTCAAACTTGTCGAAATTCAACAGTTTCATTGCAGCCTGTGCATAGGGAGTTTAAGGGGCCTCCCATATTTTTATAATGAGTTGGGGTTAGGTATTATTGAAGAGTAGTAGTGAAAGTCGGTCTAAAAATCTCGAGGAAATTGGTTCTTTGATACTGGAACTGGTTTCTACATGAGGGTTGCCAAGCCTAGCATACATCCTCCTAAGATGATCTTAAAGATACCTCTCTTTTAGTCATAATTCAAGACTCTACTCGGTTAGGTTACCGCATTTGGTACTAGGGTTGCTCGGCCATAGGTTGCAGTATCGGTCCAGTCCAATGCAAGTACTTCCACAAAACGATAGTCAAATGCCTATTGTATATACATATATATGTATCTTTTACATTGCTGCCACCTTTGTTAATAAATTTAATTTTATAAAAATTATAATTATTTTAGCCTAGTATTGTTATTAAATGAATATTTTATGCAAATAAAAACAAAAACAAATCAAGTTTGAACTATTTTGGGAATACTAGACAAGCACTCTGGAGAGGACTGTAGATTTATCTAGATATATATCCGCCGTTTTTTTCTAAAATTAAAAGCTTTATTGCGAAAAAGTTCTTACAGATATATAATTCAAAGTATTGTACTTCGCTAGCGACAACTTTCTCCCATCTTTCCGGTAGTTTTCGGATCCCGGCTCGAAAAAAGGAGTCCTCTTTTGACGCTATCCATGAAGCACTCCATTTTTCCAATTCTTCGAAGGATTAAAAATGTTGATCTGCCAGGCCTTGTGCCATCGAACGGAATGGGTGGAAGTCAGAAGAGGCGACATCTGGGGAATACGGCGGGCGGGGTAAGACTTCCCATTTCAGCGTTTCCAGGTACTTTTTGACCATTTTTGCGACGTGAGGCCGAGCATTGTCGTGTTGGAGGATGACTTTGTCATGTCGCTCTTGATATTGTGGCCGCTTTTCTTTTAGCGCGCGACTAAGGCGCATCAGTTGCATTCGGTAGCGATCTCCTGTGATGGTTTCACCCGGTTTTAAGAGCTCGTAGTAAGTCTTTGAAAGTTTTTTCTCTTCCACCACCATGTTTGTCTTCGACATCGAAATCACCATTTTTAAAATGTTGAAACCACTCCCGACACGTTCTTTCACTCAGAGCAGCATCACCGTAAGTTTCTGAGAGCATTCGATGCGATTCAGCTGCATTTTTTCTGAATTGTACCAGGAAAGTAAAACTTCCCGCAAATGGCGAGAATCAGGCACATAAACGGACATTTTCGAGCGTGAGTAATACGAAAACAAGAACAACTGTCACTGAAACGGCGATGACAATTCGTTAGGCACTGTCCACACTCACTTTAAAGGCATTATCATCTATGTATTACAACCAGCCTCAGCCGGTACAGCCACCTATCGGAAAACGGCAGAAGCAAAGTTGTACACCTGATATATATAAAAAATTTGTAACTGCGGATGAGGTTTCCATTTTGAGGTTTTGCGTCGTGATGTTTCCTAACAAATGAAGAGACTCACAGCCTATACTAAGCCGCCTCTGAACGGCTGACAGTTTTTTATGAGGAGGCTTTATTTCATGTCAGAAATACCCTCGGGGGGTTGACATTGCCTATAGAAGGTTTTTTGACTTTATTTTTCATTTAAATTAAACTCCTATAAGTTTTGGAGGTTGGTCGAACCAGGATTTGAACCGGGGTACGCAATGCTAACCAAACTTGAAGAATAATTGCTTTAACATATTTTTGCAGTGAGTTGAGAATGCGTGGTGAACTCATCCATAAATGTCGATCTTAACCTGTTACTTACTCTTACTATGAACCGATTCCAATGAACATAATTTTGGTTGAGCATGACGAGCAGCATCTCATCATTGATTTTACACATGTTAAGAGTGAGCTTCTGCTTATTTGTTATCTACTGGCGTAAGCGCTGTCTACAATTAAAAACGAATTAAAAACACTGCCTACCATTCATTCCTTCTTTTCGCTATTTCGGGTTGAATGAAAACGCTAAGTACAGTCAGCTGTTTCTCAACCTGATCTTTGCAGCGGAGTGGAGGTCATCCACTTCCTCTGCTAATAGGGTATTCTTACCGATATGGACCAAATGACCTAGCCAACGTAGCCGCTATGTGTTCATTCAATAGATGTTTTATCTTGTCTTCGCTCACTGCCAGATCCATCCGCTTCGCTTCCGTATCGAATCTGGGGAAAACAGAACTCACGACCCGGTTGTTGAGCTCAATGTGGGCAATATCATCGGAGTGCGCCAGCAGCTGTACACTCTTAGGGAAAATATAACTTCTCTATTCAGCTCTGCCGTTTGTATTAGTTTCTTAAGCAGAAAATACGGAAGTCACATGATTAGGAGTCAACCTGTCTGAAACCTCATATGGTATTGAACGACTCGGAGGAGCCCTTCCTTTGCAGCTGAACGTAGGTAGCTTAAAATGCCATCCCACAGTTTCTTTATACCGAGTTGTTGATGAGTGCTCTTAGAGAGTGGAAAACCATTCGAATCTCTGTTGTGATTACAGCTTTTCGTCAAGGAACCTTCCTTGTGTTTTTTGACTTGTGCTCTTTCCTGCACAGCGGCGAAACTGCTCTAAGTGGATGCTGGATCATGGGAACATACGCACATCAGCAGATATCTCGTTCGTTCATCCCGACATGATCGATATGGTGGAGAGTATTTTGATCTGGAGACAGCCAAGTAGCTTATAAATTGTTTTTGTGCTGGAATATAGTACCACAGACATCTATACTACGCACCCTATGCTGTCAATCAGCCTCAACCAATTTGAGTATCTTTTATTGTAGAGGCTGAATTTTCCGAGAGGTGTTCCGAATATACATTCTTTGATATCGTGACTAGCTTTAAAACCGATCCGTACATCAAATATATTGGAGTGCTTCCGTTGAAAGCTTCTCTCTGCAGACTGCAGTCTTAAAGCACACGCCTAATGGTGTTCGTGACTTTGAACAACGCATATCTTTGGAAGAGATATATTTTTCACCAGCCACCAAAATCGTCCTCATATTCATAATCGCCAAAATATATCGATTCATATTAATTTAAAAAGAACATTTTCTTTTCAAATAATAAGCAAAATTTTTGCTCTCCTGCGTTTTCCATTTGTAAGAATATTCACGTATTCACCTTTCACTTCTCATTTTGGTATCTCACGTGCTTCCTCACTTAATTGTCAGTTACCGAATGTTTATAAATTCAATTTGGGTTTGTAGCGGTCACATTGCACGACCGGCCGAAGATATAAGCCACTTGCAATTGTTGCTAGCTGGCTAGCTGGCTGTGCGTACGTCAGGTGACAATTGAAAAATCCGCAAAAGACGACACATCCCACGGCCAATGCCCAAATGCGATGCTCATCAGGAATGACAAAGAAGACCACTTGTGACCGACATTCGATTTAAGCTTGTGAAGACGCCTTGGAGGCAAAAGCTTTGATGGAAAGTGACGATAGTGCAGCAACGAGCACACGAGCCGCACACACAA